AAATCTACATCGATTGTAAGTAAAACCGATGTAGATTTGACCACAATTCTACATCGGTTATACCAACAACCGATGTAGATGTGTACTCAAATCTACATCAGTTCTACTTGAAACCAATGTAGATTGCATTTAAAAAAAATCAATTATTTTTTTAGATTCTTTCTAGGTTACCTGTATAAACATATTTCATTCATAGTATAATTTCTAAATCTAATTGTTGAGTTCTAGTTCCCTCAATTAGAGATTATCAGATACAATAACTACTCTAATAAAGCTATAACTTTCAATTCCATTTTATTCCCAATCAACAAAATAGAAACATTATTCCATTCCATCACAAAATATCAAAACACTAGTATTGTAATGTTATTCCATACCATCCCATCTTTTCCATTCCACCCATCATTAGATATCCAAACATAGCCTAAGGATTTAAAAAAAATGACATGACATGACATGGTTTTTTCCATTCTTGAAAACTTGATTTAGTGTTGCACCTTCATGAGTCAAATTTGTTCTTTCCATAAGCTACATCTATCATGTTTTTGGGTTAAAGAAACAAGGAAACACCAAACTAACTACCATATGTATATCAGTTAAAAATTAAAAATACATAATGTGCTGCAGTGCATTGCCTAAAACAGATAATACAAAAGTATATATTTTTAAGCTGATAATGCCAAAATACCATAGGCGATTAGTCATTTGATGCACCAAAGAAATTGACCTAGTATCAATTTTCATCCCTGTGGCTTCTATTCAGTTTTAAGTTTCATCCCCATTTTTTTCATTCAAACAAGCTTCAATCATTACTAGCAAATATTTTGTTGATTTCCATGTCAATAGCCAGTGATATCACTAGTGAAAACCTATTAGTGACTTTTCCCATAAACAATTTTCAACACCCTATAAATAACTAACACACTCACATCAGCAGTTAAAACATAAAGACAATAAGGAAGAGGAAATATAAAAACCAGTCAATCAATTGAGTGCCAAATTGATTCAATAAATCTTTTAGAAAACTTGAATAAAAACATAAATATTTGAGAAAAATAGTGGAATCAGGTGAATATGATAATTAATATAGGATTAAACACATTCGATTTAAAAACACATTCAACCATATCAATATCATAATTTGAAAGTATTTTATTCAACATGCAACACCCATAATCTTCAAATCTTTAATTACAATATAATTTTTTTTATTCATTTATTATATTAGAATTTGACTCTATGAATTGAGTAACTTACTTCTTTGTTACTAAGGTCCAAGGCATTGAGCATTTCTGCAAGAACCCACGTGCATTCTGAATTTCAGTCAATATCAATATCATTCAAAGTAAAGAAATTGTACATGCATCAATATCATTCAAAGTAAAGAAATTCGAAATCCTCATATCAGTCAATTGCTCAAGTTGTAGCAGCCAATAAATTCAGACAAAGTAAATTGTTTTGCTCATATCAGTCCACTCTAAGGCATGCTAACAAGCTACAGAATAATATTTTGGACAAATTACAAATAGATCCTCTTAACCAAAACATGATAACCAAGCTTTAACTACTTAGTTTATTTTATTTTCGAATAAGAAAATAAACTAAAAAATAAAGGCAGAAAATTGTTTTGGAGATATATTGTAAACAATCATAATTAAACTAAAAATCATGCTCTATTTCTAAATTTTTCTAAAAAGAAGGTTGCCCATTGACTCCAAATGTCTTCCAATTTGGTTTCCAGCAATGGTACAACATCATCAAAAAGCTGTAACATAGAGTATAATATATTAGTTACACATAAAAATGATGTAAATAAATTAATTAATGATAGTAAAAGTAAAAGAATTACATTACCTCAATCGTGAGATTTTAAGCTAACCAGTTTAAGATCATTCCATGATACAAGGATATTAACATTTGAAGAGTATCCCTGTAGAACTTTCACACCTCGTAGGCATTGACAAAAACTTATTTTCTCTTTTCTTGACAAAGTATGACATGTTGGAGGCAAATATGTACGCTTACCTTCTAACTTTGGATGTAACTGTTCACATATACCTATCTCTAACAAATCTTGACGAGCATTGAGTCCATCATTTGCTTAACATTTGAAGAGTATCCCTGTGGAACTTTCACACCTCGTAGGCATTGACAAAAACTTATTTTCTCTTTTCTTGACAAAGTATGACATGTTGGAGGCAAATATGTACACTTACCTTCTAACTTTGGATGTAACTGTTCACATATACCTATCTCTAACAAATCTTGACGAGCATTGAGTCCATCATTTGTCTTGCCTTTAATGTTTAAAAGTGTGCCTATTACACTATCACATACTTTTTTCTCCACATGCATAACATCTATGCAGTGTCTAACATCTAGATGGCGCCAATATGGAAGATCAAAAAATATGGACCTCTTCTTCCACAACTTCTTCTCAATTGACTTCTTTTGGGTCTTTCCAAATATAATATGTATGTCCTTCATCTGATCATAAACTTGCTCACCAGTTAAGGGTGTGGGTGCAATTTCATGTTCTTGACATCCATTAAAAGCTTTTTTCAATCTTCTATATGGGTGATTAGGTTTGAGAAATTTTCGATGCCTAGTATAGACAATTTTCTTTCTATGCTTCAATTGTAGGTAGCTTGTTTATTTTTCACAGATAGGGCATGCGTGATGTCCTTTAACACTATATCCACTCAAGTTCCCATATGCCGGAAAATCATTAATAGTACAAAATATCATTGCTTGTAGCTTGAAACTCTGTTGATGATACCCATCAAACACATCAACCCCTATATATATATATATATATTCTCTTTATTTATTATTATTATTCTTAAACTAAATACTCAAAAATTTTACTTCATTTCTCATCTACTTTCATTTATTAAATATTTATTTTTTTTCTTCAACTTATTTTCATTTTTTTTCCTTTCCTAATAAACACACAACTAGTTAGCTCTGTGATATATTAGATTGTAACCATATGATTTTAAATTGTAGTGTATGTTAAATTGTTACTATTTTTTTTTACAAGATGGGCGATGGCATTTTCTTGTAACTTCTAAATATTTTGGTAATCATTAATCACAACGTAAATGTAACATCCATAACAAATACAATTAGCACTATATTAGTTAATTTAATTACGAGATCGTTTTTCACAGAATAATTTATACGTTATTTTTCCATCTCTATTTCACTTCATCACACATCATTTACATGCCATACTTTTCTCTCTTTCAGTCGTAAAATTTGTCATATAAATAACATTTCTCTTAATTTATAATTTCATCCCACGATTTTACTGATTAATTTCGCTAAAACTTCGATTCTATGTTTGGGTTCTGAGCAATTCACACATTGTTGCTGAAAGATAATTCTTTTTGCGTTTCATCTACATGAGAATATCCGGCATTAGTGCTTCAAATTCTACTTATATGCTTGGACAAGACGTACCAATGCCGTTACACTAGCTTTAGGTCATAGTTAAATTGAAGTAATAAATAATCAACGTTGTTTTAAGTTACACACTAATCATATAATGTGTACGTAACATCTTGATTGCGACATTTCACATGCTATAATTACACCATATTGTAATGCAATTTAACCGTAGGGTAACTAGCATTAATACTTGTTTCAACTTGCCAAGGCTTGTGGGGTTATTGCATTTATTATGAACATGTCTTGAAGTTTCTAACAAGATAAGGATGTCCCCTCGGATTGAATATTTATGGGAGTTTGACTTTTCAATTGAGAAACTTGAAATTAAAAAAAAATAAATTTTTATAACCAGCATGGATGGCATAAAAAAATTATGAGATAGTTCGGTATGTGTATATAGTTATAGTCAATCACAATACGAAATGCGTTTAACTTTTTTAATTTATGAAAAGAAATTAATAATTTTTTGATTACATGTCATCGTTAATTATAAGGACCATGTAGTTTAGGATTACTTAATAATTTCTCAAACAACATAACTGATTAAGTGATTTCGTTCATACTAATTAAAATTTAGGATTGAATTCAATTTTTCTTATATCTTATATCTTTTCATATGAACTTGTGTTAGAAAAGAAATAAATAATCCATAATTTTATTAAATTTTTTTAAAAGAAATTGATGATTATTTCTAACCTTGCATGTGAATATACCTTATCCTAATCAAAATTTCTTGTAAAAAGAAAACAAAATGCTATATTAATCGTTGTATAGATTGTGTCCAGGTTCTTCATTTTCTTAAAAAAAAAATAAAAATGGGACCGATTAGTCTAAATCATTTTTGAAAAATCTCCAGCAAACTTTGGCGTAATATAGAGTGACAAAGCAGAACATTAATGAGCTAGATTGAGACCTTTGACCTACAGTGAGGCCACTGAGTAGTATAAAAGCATATGATTTGAGTGTGTTATGCACACCAACCCTAAAACAATAATATGGGTTCCTTTTTAACCTTACTAGTGTTGTTTCTTGCAGCCCTTATCCTGATTCCTCAAGAAGGGCTTGCTACTTATTACAAACCTATCTACAAGAAGCCACGTCCAATTTATAAGCCCCCAGTTTATAAGCCACCTGTTTATAAGCACAAACCACCTTATTACAAGCCACCATACAAGAAACCACCTTATGGTAAGTACCCTCCGGCGGAAGACAACACTCATGCCTAAACCATGCAATGCAACCAGGTTTATGTCTGTTATCTACTTTTTTAATTAAATAAGAGCAAATTCGTGGTTCGTGTTTTCTAGGACTGTAATCTTCAACTTTGTAGCAATGAATATTAATTCTGTGGCCAAGTCAAGAGCATCATGCGCATGTCTGTGAATGTAAATCGAATCAAGAGAGAGATAATGGTGCTTTTGTACTATACCAATTATAAATAAAAGAATTTTATGGTTTTCTGATTGTTTTGGTTGATTCTGATTAGGTAGCTTTACCATTTGTGATGGTGCATATATAGTTGAACGTATAAAGCAATAGGAACTCTCATCTTCACCATGCCATATCCATGTTGTATAGCTCGTTAAAAGCCCATCACAAATAAGATGGTCTCGTATTTCTTCAATTACATGTCTCCCATTTAAACAATTAACGCAAGGACAATAAAATTTTACATTCAAATCTGCTCAATTTTGTTGAGCAAATTTCAAAAACTCTTCAACCCCATTTTGATACTCATCAGTGATTCTTCTTGCATTTATCCAACTACGATCCATTTTTCTTCTTCTGTGAGACAAATTTATTTACACAATTGAGTATTTAGGGTCTCTCTATATAGTAGAAGAGCAAACCATACACTAATTCAATGTTATTTGAATCTATTATTTCATTTATCTAAGTAGGTAGAAGATCCAAATATAAGTCATCTTATTTCATCAACTACATAAATAAAATTCATCTCATTTCTTCAACTAGATAAATAAACTACATAAATATAATTGAGTTTAAGGTACCTTACTAAGAAGATATCACAAACTAGATGTGTTGACTAATGGATGTCAAGAAGAGAAGTATCACCCTCTGTACACCTCCTACCAAATCAAAATCAAGTTTAAGGTTTATGTGAAAAATAGAAGCTTAAGTTCAAACCTTATGTAGTAAAATGGGAGAATAAGACAAAAAAAGATGACCCGGAAATGAGATGGTAGATAAGGTTGAGAGAACCAACTTTGCTTCTCACGAGTGACTGTATTTTTTTAATTAAATAATTAAAATTTAAATCTTAACTTTAGATATAAAGTAGATTATATTAAGAGACATATAATTATTTTATATATATTCAGATTTTTTTATAAAAATTAAAGAAGTTATAAATATTTTGTATATTATAAAAAATAATAACAAGATTAATAGATGTTAGAAAAATTTGAGTTTAAAAATATTTTTGTTTATATAATATGATGGAATGGACACACATATTGAAGTTCATCACCAAGTTACATAGGATACATAGGATACAATATATTGGTCACACAAGTTACATAATAGCATAACAAGTAATTCACCACACCAAATTTGTCTGCTACACAAAACACTGCCCACATTTTACTATATGAAAGTTGAATTTGATGTGATGGGGTGCATCCTATGTAACTATGTTTGGCCAATAGATTATTTACTACACTAAATAGTGTACACTTTGAAAGAGAAACTCAATCTGTTTATGGCATGATTGACTAATTTGCCTTTGAGAAAGCCAATGTGGTTGCTATTAAGTTATTTTCCCTGCGATTCACGTTGATCAAGTAATTGTTGCACTTTATTTTGAGAAGAGACGAGGTAATTGTTGCACTTTATGAAACTGTATAAATTAACCAAGTTACCATCCTTGGTTTAGCAAACAACAAATATAGCAGGTCTAATACAGGGAACCAATCTTCTGCCAAATAATTGAAGAAATGTTATTTGTATTTGTTTGTAACAATGACGTACTGCTCACCCATTAACTATTGAACTTATTTTGTATATGGTGATTATATTTTTATGTACCGATAATGAAAAAAAAATAACACTATCAAGTATAAATTAATGGTACAATCACTTTTAAGATAGTTATTGCTAAAGTTAATAAAGACAAGATCAAAGAACAAGATCAAACTCTACTATAAGATATTGGATTGAGTTGGATTAAGTTCATAAATAAATTTTCCTGTTTGATCTTCCAGGAAACTTTAAAAATATTATGAAATGTTTTTGATCTCGTAAATGACCAAACTACCTTAGGGGAGTTTTTGACATCATCTACTCTATAGACCCTTATCGCTAACATAAAAAGCTTTTATTCTGTTTAGAATCCACTCTCACATCACACGTTTCAAAATAGTATAAACCAAATATCCAAAAGGGAACAGGGAACATCCTAAATCATATCTAGATAACTTATCATAGTTAAAAAGTGCAATTGAAAGAAACAACTAGGTCTTAGAAAAAAATATATGAAACTGCTAAACAACAGAAGACTGCAAAGATGTGTGTACTTGGTATTATTCAGTAACTATGCCATGTAGCATATGTATACACTCAGCAGCCTGAATTGTGCGCTGAGGACAAACGACCATGGTTGCGATGGTTAACAAACTATCATCTCATTTACAACCACCCAACATAGCACCTTAGCCTCAGCCTCTCGTTAGTCCTTGCTATTATTGGCTAGTTAATTATGCTTTAGATTGATGGTGATTGTCTCTTGACTACAAGTTATGATTATTAATGATAATATGTTCATAATTTTGGGAAACCTTTGATTTTTGAGCACTTATGTCTTTCAAGTATAAATTACACATTTTCCCATTATTTTCACACTCATTCTGCTACAGTATTTTTGGGTTCAGCAACTTTGCACTGTTAACAAGGATCGATAACTATGGGGAATATAGCTTGCCTAAGTCACAAATCAGTTGACATGAATGGGGCATGGCTATAGCCATGCAATACATTAAATAAAGGTGCCATGAATGCAAAAAATTCAGCAACAACAAAACTTTCCCTGTATTCTACATGGGCTAATGGTAATTTAACATGTTCACAGTTCACAAAATCATATTTCAATTACATAAGATATAAAATTATATCGTACATGATTTTTTGTCAAAAAAAAAAAGTTGTTAAAAGAGAAAAGAGAGGTACAAAAGCAAAAGGTTAAGAAATGCTCAAGAACTAAAACAAGAATAAAAGGTAAACAAATAAAAGAACTAAGAACAAGAAACATGTAATACATCATGTCAATCTCTCTAGTCTAACACAAAAGACCAGTAGCAGAACGCTACAAAGAAACTAGTTGAACTGATTGATCCCAAATGAACACAAGGTAACTAACACCTAATAAAGATTCTAGCATTCTTTCCAACCAGATACATCCAATAATCGCCAATTGAGCAGTGTCAAGCCTTTTAGAATCTCTACTGGTGCCAAATATTATAAACTTAAGACACAAACCCGCTAGGGATCCTTGGGGAAAACCAATCAGCCAGTTGATTTCTCAAGTTTTATCAATGACTCTTCTACCCTCCTCTCTTCTATGCTAAAACGGTAAAGATTGCAGAAAACTAAATTTACAGAAAAGTCATGCCACACGCAACAATTAATAATGCAAAGCACGACCATTACAAATAGAAAGACATTGAAGTTGAGTCATGACGGATAACCAAGCAAATGGATATCATGGAACAATTACATCTAGACAAGTTTGGATCACAAATCTCAACTCAAAAGCTTTTATATGCAAATATGCCTCAAAATAAGATGATGTATACATAATAAGACAAAATTCATCTAATTATATATTATATATTCATTAAAAATATACTACACACATAAACAATGTACCAATTTCAACAAAAAAAAAGGTATGTTTCCATAGGAGTGCAAGTGCAATGGTGCTTCTATCTTTTACCAAGGGTAAGAGGAAAAAAGAGATAATAGATTGCAAACAAAGGAAGAAAGTCATTGTGATTACAGGAGCAAAAAGTTGATGCATAAAAATGAAAATTATCCATGAACTAAGGCAGCTAATCAAGCAAACTTGAGAACCGATAAGCTGGCTTATTTAGAATTCAAGAATATAGTAAAGGTGCTAACATAAAAAGGAGACGTAGTGAATATTATCAGAGATTATTATCAAGGATATCACCGGTTTTAACTTTACTATATTGAAGCTAAGTTCCTAACTTCAAAGACATCCATAATGCTTAACAGTTCATACATAATTAATTTTTATTCTAGTGTTTTGTTAAAAGAACAACAATTATCCCTGCAGAAGGGGGGTAAATTAGATATGTACCTAAACATTCCACATAAAAATGAGCCAGCCTAGCACAAAAGGCAGAGCCAAATATCACTATAATCCTTCCCCTGCTCCTTTGAAGACACACATTTTCAGCTGAACCCTAAACCCTAAATAACAACCACCACCAAACCTTGTCTCACTATAAGAGTGACCCATTACACAAGGCTCACACCATTGTTGGGTAGTGGAGAGAGTTAGATGGATCCAATTTCTTGGAAACAAACAAAAGAATAAAGAGAAAATTCTGTTGTGCCCAAACTTCTCAATTTTTTAAACCAATCAGACTTGCTTCAAAAATGAAACAAATACTTTCACAACGGACTCAGACAATAGGACGACTAGGTTTCCGGAAACCTCCTCCGGGAGTGCCTCCAGACCCTAAAACATTAGCACCCGCATTTGTACAAGATGAGAGAGGCAAAAATAAGCAAAACACAAAACGAAGATACGCACCTAAAATGGCTTCACTATGTTTTCGTTCGTCGAATAGGGCTTCAATGCTTCCTTGGAGGGTTGTTGAAGATCAACGGTCCTGGAATGTAGAGAGTCGTTTTAGGTTTGAGAGTGTTTAGAGGGTTTGGGTCTCAGAGTGTGTGAGAGGGAGAGTTCAAGAGTCTGCGAGAGGGAGCGTTCCAGAGTGTGTTTAAGAGTGTTTTAGAGGATCAGCATCTACTTATGAGTGGTCGCGCGCCGGGGCGGGGACGAATTTCGTCACCCCTTCTACATCGGTCAACACGAAAACTAATGTAGCTCACTAATTACATTTCTACATCGGTCCCATAAGTGACCGATGTAAAATTGTTTATATTTACATGTTTTTTATAATAACCGATATAAATATTCTTATATATTCAAGTTATTTACAAAATTGTCACCGCATATTTATTTTATATCGATTTGTAAGGAACTGATGTAAATATAGTGACGTGAAATAGTATTTTTCTAGTAGTCTGTACATATACATGTCTTGTTTGTGTTTGGCTATCCGATGTATATTCCTACACTGTGAGCTAGAGTGAGATGTTTATCACTCCCTTTTCTTTTTTGTTGTTTTTCTTTGACCGTTATACAAGTGATTATCAGCATGAGGCTAAGGATGTTGATGATGAAGCTTAGGCTTCTATGTTGGACTTTGCTTTGATAGGACATGTGACATCGGGACGTAGATAAGATTAGATTATGATGTTATTTCTATTAAATTATTTTGAAAACCTTAGCCTTATTTCGTTATTATTTCCGCTGATTATGTTATTTGTTTAAGTTATGAATGTGGTGTTCTCTATCTAAACATATTTAATATTTTAACAATGAAAAATTATGTTATTCAAATTTTATTATTTATGTGTTATGATATACGGGGTAGAAGGTGTCATACATATCTTAGAGAAGGTAATTGTTGAGGTATTTTTATAGGAGAAACATTTCATGTAATAAATAGCAACTCACATAAAAGAGTTTGATATCACAACATAACTTAAAATCTTAAAACATTAAATATGTGGGTATTTCTCATTTATATATTACTTAATATGCTCACTCTAACCAATGTCAAATTTTACTTTACACTTAAATTTCAAAAAAAAAAAATTGGATGTTCCACAATTGAATTACATTGTCAACTCTTAGCTGATGTGAGTGGTATCCTATTGCTGAGGATGTAATTTTTCTTTCTTTTGGTTTGTTATCTTTCATTACTCAAAAAAGAACCAAACATCTTAAAAATTTACTCATTTTTAATCCATTCCTTCTTTATTTTTTCTTTCTTCTACACTTGACTAAATAAAACATTAATGTGTCGTCGAGGTAAGTTTTTGTGTGTGAGCATAAATGATACGAAATATAAAAAAAAATTAAAGGTTTTGGTAGATTTGAATTTAGATCGTAATTTTATTCGTTACATTTACTTTGGTTTGATCTTATTTATTTTCAATTCAAAAGATTTTGTTTATTTGTAAAAGAATTGAAAACTCCTTATTTATCTCCTCAATTTTTTTATATGTCTGTTATACTCTTATTTAATATCAATCGAAAAAAAACATACTTTATACTTTACTAAAAGTAAAATAAATGAATGATTATTATATTTCCCTATTTATTTTTTCCTTGCATTAAAAGATAATAAAGTATTAATTAGTATTTTAGAGTAGTTATATTTCAGTTCTAGAATAAAATAAAAATATATAAATAAAGAGAAAATTATTTATATTAAAATGAAAACCAAAATTTAGATTTTTTACTTTATTTTTCTTATTGGTTTCCTTCATAAACTTCTCGTATATAGATCAAAGCATAATTATGAACGTTTTTAACCACACGCAGAGGAAAAAGAGAAAGGACCACAATCCTTTGCTACACTTGCACTTCAAACTTCAAACTCAAGACGAACGATACAATTTTTAGATAAAATCATCGCTTATATCAGAGTGTCATGTTTCATACTTTCACTAACCAAAGAATACTATAGATTAGAGTTTTTCGTGAAAAAGTAAAACCCATGTTAGCTTATTTTAATTATATATATATATATATATATATATATATATATATATATATATATGCGGTGGGAAGATAAATAGATATTACTATTACTTTTTGAGCTGAAGTATGTCTACATTTAGTTTATTTTCTTATTAATTGTGTATTTGGTTGCACCACTAATTTGATAGTTGAGTCGAGGGATTTCGTGTCACTATATTTTATTTAATAAAAATATTTAAAAATTATTAATGTATAATAAATCAATTGGTATTGTGTTTAATTTTCAAACTTAATAGTGTGTTTAGATGGTGAATTTAAATGGAGTAATTTGTTTATTTGAAAAATTTTAAATTCTTTGAGGTGAAATACCTTGTTTGGATAGAGGATTTATAAAGAATTTGAAATTCAAGCATTTGTGAAAATTTTTTAAAATAAGAGAATTTCAAATTCTCTCAAAAAAGTAAGAATTTGAAATTTCTCATATTTTTTTTTCTTATTTCACTTATATATTTTATCTTATCCCTTATTTCTTCATGTTTTTAATTATTGAATATTCAAAAATATTTTTAAAATTATTAAATATTATCTAATATTAATTTTTAAAATTATTAAATATTTATAAACTAGCTAATATTTATTTTTCTAAAATTTAATTTAAAAATCTCAACATATAAATATATTTTTAAAATCAATTTTACCATGGTAGAATCAAGGCTTAATTGCACTTTTGGTCCTTCTAATTTAGTGTATGAGCAATTTTGGTCCTCATAATTTGAATTGCTTAATTTTGATCCGTAAATTCAAATAATGGACAATTTTAGTCCCACAAACAATTTACCATCTAAAATTTAACAGACGTTAATGACGTGGATTTTATGCTAAATAAACATTAATTATATATTTAATTTTTTACATGGCAAATTATTTAATTTCTTACGTGGCAAATATTAAAAATTCAAATAACATTGAATTCAAAGGTCACGTATTTGTTTTTTGGAAACAAAATTCCAACGATTTGATTTAATTTAATTTGTACGAGAAAGAAAAAGTGTTAATCTACATCAGAAAGGAAACATAATTAATTCAATTGGTTGTAACTTGTAAGAAAACAATATCCTCTTTTACTGAAGGAGGAGATGTCGATCACATTGGTATTGATCACAATATTGAAGAGGGTGGTAATGGTGTACGAGCTGCCACCTTATCTAGAAACTTAGAGCCAACAACAAATGTTGATTTTGAGATTGAAGATGAGGATTCTGATTTTTTACAAACTCCTTCAGGAAGTGATGATGACAAGGAAGAAAGACCTAAATTTCCAAAATTTAAAATGCCTATAGACAACTCCAATGTTCGGTTTGAGGTAGGCTTGATTTTCAACACAAAAAAGGTCGTGAAGGAGGCAATTAAGGAATATGCAATGGTGCAAAAAAGAAATCTACACTTTAACAAGAATGACAAGTCTAAGATGGTCATAAGATGTCTGAAGGATTGTCCGTTTAATATAAGAGTTAGTAAGTTAGAACACCATGAGTATTGGCAAGTTGTGAGTTTGTATGAGAATCACACATGTCATAGAACAGCAAAAAATAGGCAAGCAAAGACAGAGTGGCTTGCAAGGAAATTCATTCCTAATTTGACACATACTCCTGACATTAAAACAAGTACACTAATTGCAGAGGCAATACAAAAATGGGGTGTCAAGTTGTCTAGACACCAAGCATATAGAGCCAAAAAGAGATCACTTGAAATGATTCAAGGTGCAAGGGTTGAGCAATACAATCAGTTAAGGAATTATGCAGAGGAGCTTTTAAGGAGTAATCCTAACAGTTCAATAATTATCAAATGTAACATGAGCAATGATGGTTCTATGTTTGAACGGATATATATTTATTTTGAAGCATGTAAAAGTTCCTTTGTTCATACATGTAGGCCTTTAATTGGATTGGATGGATGTTTTTTAAAAAGGGACTATGGTGGTCAATTACATGATAATATATCAGTAAAAGTATGTCATAATAAAATACTTTTATTTTAAATTAGTCAAATTTGAAATTAAAAAAAATATATGTGAGAAAGAATGATACACGCGTTATTATTATTATACTGCATAAAATTTAGTTATTTTGCAATAGTAGGATTAGTAAAATATTTATAATTAAAATGCAGAAATTTCATTTTAAAGTAGCTATGTCCATTGGTATACATACTAAATAAAGGGCAATAATGTGTTATACTTGCACAACAATTTTCTTAAGTCCATGAAATAGTCAGGTCAAATTATCTTTGACTTTACATTTTGAAGCTTAACCATATCTATTGATTTTGTAGATTAGGAAAATAACTAAATATTGTGATGTTAAAATTTGAAGTTAACCAAACACAATAATTGAGTATCCTAATTTATTATTATTTCTTGTATGCAACATGACCAATATGAAACTTTCCTATGATCAAGTTTAGCACTTTTTATAAATCTTTTGTTATAAATTGAATCTCCTTGGAAATGTTTTTGGTTATCATCAATATCAGAATCATAATGTTAATACTAAAATCATACATAATATGTTGTTATTGAAAGTTGTCTTTGTAGTACGATTAAGACCAATTAAAATCGTTGTATACATGTTTTGATAAAGCCACTGTGGGTCGGGTATTGACATTGATATAAGAAGTCTGGGAAATATGACGATTAACATTAAATCAAGAATAACACCATCGAACATTAAATTAAGAAATAGACGATTTAAGATCCGTATTGTGTTTATTATTATTTAACCAATAATTAGAAAAAGAAAAAAGTATAATTTCATTAGAGAAATATATTTAAGCACACTTTTTATAACATCGATTCCATTGAGAGTTTACAATGATAAGTGAATAATTGAATAAAGAGGTGAATGAAGGTTGTAGAGCATGGGCCATGGGAGTGAACATCGTTCGATGTAATGGAACCCAGAAAATGCATGCAAAACGACCGAGAGAGAATGTATGGAGTGTGAAATTTACAAGTGAGAAAGGTGAAAGGGAATTAGGAAGTGGGAGAGGGTAGAATGGTCCTATGGGTAGGGCGAGAAGAAACAACCGAGGATGAGAAAACGGACCGTCGAGGGACAAGGGCTGAACGAACTGCTCCACCACTAGAAATTACCTTTCCGTCAATTCAAACTTTGCTGCTTGCGTGTACTAATAATTTCATGCTTTTTAGTTTTAATGATTTACTGCTATTGATATCAATATTAAATAATTTGCCACATAAGAAATTAAA